AGTTGTTCTGGGTCATCTAGTGCTGAGCCATGTTGACCGCAGCTCTCCCCTGCTGTTGTCAATTAAAGTTTCAGAAGTTGCATGTCGCAGCAAATTATCCTGCACACAGGCACACATTGGAAACAGCTACTGCGTTTATGCATTCACGCATTTCACGCATTCTATTTCATGAAAAGTACCAATTCGTGTGCGCATAAACAGCTTTTTACGAATTCACAGAATGCTTTCGACGCCCAACATTCTGGCAAAAGCAAAACAAGTCAGACACGACTTTAATTGGCTGATGTTTGCCTTGGCGGTGCTGGAAGTTACCCTTCCTTATTACTTTAGACGACAGCCCCTTTTGTTTTCCACCCATCAGGTGGGCAAATGGGTTTGTCGCATAAACATAGGATAATTGAAACTCACGCTTTAAAAACCGTGAAGCCTCAGGGCATAAACGTAGTAAGTGACAAAAAGTAAATGACAAACTGTGCGAAGGCTCTGGCCGAATAATAAAGCCTAGTGCGCTCTCAGCTGGAATTGCAGATGCAGATGAACGGGCGGGGTAGGGACAGTTTTTCATCATAAACATTGGGAGTCCGTCAAAGCATGTCCTACACATTTAAGTGTGTGATTCACATGATGCAAGCTGTTGGGCAGACAGGAGCACACTGAATCAGAGCCTCGACTTACAAAAGTCCGTGTTTATGGACCAGGGAAATTTGCATACCCTTCCTACCCGAAAACAAATGCGAAATAGAAAATGAAAATAGCATTCGCTCTTCTGGAACCCCAACATGCACACTCTTGCACAGAACACCTATGTACATATATTGTGAATTTCTTTTGGGTGAAAGCATTCATGCAATCCGTGAGCAAACTACTGTTTTGAGCACACGGCTTTATACGAATCTTTTAGATGCCTAGATAAATATTTTTGGACTAAAACTAAGATTTTTATAAAATCTTTAAATACAGCATGTGAAAATTAAATCCCTTTCAGTGAATCCAGTGTAATATTAAAAGTTCACTGGGTACCAGAGAACAATTTATATAGAATCCGGAAACAATTTCCTTAATTTGACCCGAATGGAAAATCCACAAATTATTTCACATTTCACTTCGACTGTCAACCCCCACAAATAATAATTTATCTTCGAGTGCAAAAAATGGAAAATGAAAAGTTGCAAATTACAATGGCTCGGATCGATAGTTGGCCAATATACAGTGTGCATATGCATTCTATATCCCCGTGCGGATATAACCAGTATCTTGTCCCAGCTTTATTGTTGTTGCCATCCGATTGTGTTTGTAGTTGTTTATGGCACAAATGAATTGGCATCTTTCGAATACTTTCGGTTTGGCTGCCCTGCGGAGGATTTCCACGCTCTCCCTTTCCTTCGCCAGTCCATTTCCATTTCCGACTTTTCCCGGTGCCGCTCTTTTTCACTGCATAATCGCCAGAGATGTTTGCCTGTTTGTTTGCTATTCTGTTTTCGGGCTCGCCTATGTGTTGGTATGTATCTGTGTGTACGTTCTGGCAATGCATTGAACCAGAAATATGTAGATATGCCAATGAGTTCCTTTCATTTCGGGCCTCCTTTGTGTGCCATTTGCCGCTTGTGCGAGCGTAGTGCCTAAAGGGGTGCAACCAGTTTGAGTCCATAGCTATAAGGCCACTTTCCCCATTCATTGCGAGTTAGAATACGTTGGGTTTAGTGTTAGGTAATTATTAATTGCACCGCTTTCTAGCCATGAGTCCTTATCGATTTTGTACTATGTTCCATTAAAATTTAAATTGCTCATAACTTTGCCTTCAAAGTTCAACTGTATATTGAGAGTTGTCAACTGTTGATTACTTTGAAGTAAAGCAATATAGCGCTGTGTTTCCGTTGATTTCGGGAAAATATATGTACATTTAAATAGACCAACTACTTAGCTTATGCTCCTGTAGAATTAGAGAACCCTCTTCCCTCTGCAATAACTTTCAAATGGAAATATCGCAGTAACAAATCTTGATTCATTTGATGAATGGGCTCCCAACGATTCCGGTTTTGTGGCTGCGGAATTCCATAAAAGATTAGCCACAAAAATGTTGGAGTCGCTGCTGCGGCTTCCTTTAATTATGCGAACAGGGATTTCTGCGTCTCGTTCCTTTTGTACGGCTTGTGGCTCGTGGGCCACCAAACGGAGAAGTTGATGGGAGTCCGTTTAAGGAATGCCATTTGGGCTGAATGCAATAAAACAATTTAATTAAATTTTATGTGATCCCAGAGAGAAAGCATATGAAAGCGAATAAAGCACAATAAACTCGTGGCAGATGGCACATATTCTGGGAGCCCAAGCCGCCTTTGGATTTTGCCTATCTTTATGGGGCAATTATGAGCTTAATGGCGTGTCTAAGTCTTAGTCTTCCCCCTTATATCATACACCCACCCGCCCATGTCTTTCAATTTGCCACAAACTGTCACACATCATCGGGAGACAAAAAGCCCACTTCCGTCTGATCTGTTCCAGGGGTCATTGAAAAACTTTGGCTTTAAGCAACTGTTTGCCAAATATTTCACTCCAGCCTTGGACCTGTATGTTTCTGATTTATGCATGTGTTTAAAATGCTTAGTCGGTGCATAAATCGTTGGCAGAGTTTCGCCCGGTTCGGGCTCGTCCACATCTCACAAGTTCCAGCCACTTAGGCTAGGCCATCCATCCGGAGCTCTTCCTGTTTTGGGCTCATTGACCACTATTCTGTTTGTGTTTATGTTCTGGCCTAGAAATTTCCTTTGTTTGCTGATTGAAATTGACTTTCCAGGGGCGCCAGTTGGGCTACAGAAGGAAAGAGCCGCAGTAAATTGAGGTATGGAACATCTTCTTGCTGTGTCATTGAAAAGGTCAAGATATGGCTACTGTGCCGGATTCGACATGATTCAACTCATTTGCCTGTTAGCCCAGAGCAAGAAATTATTCTTTTAAAAAAGTGGCCAGGCCCGAAATTTGACATTTAACACAAAGTGAATCTGCGCGTCAGCTTGCTAAAAACTTTCTTATTTTATAAAACTCAGATCATTACTAGTTAACATCAATGTTATAAGGTCAGCGATATTTGTAAATACTTATTTTCGGTCAATCAAATAATTAATTAATTGTTAAGGATAAACAATACTTCAAATGACTAAATTAAGAACTCAATGAAAATTAAAATCAAACAGCTATTTAGTTCGGTTCAGATAAGACTTGAAACACAAGAGAGAATGCTATAGTCAGGTTTCCCGACTATCAGATACCAGTTACTCAGCTAGTGGAATATCGGCAGAAATTGCGAGAAAAGAGAAATAGAAATTTACATCTTGTGCTGCATCTATGCCTAATCTCAAATTCATATGCTGGTACAGACGGACATAACGACTCGGTTATTCATACTGATCAAGTATATATATGCATTATATGGTCGGAAACCCTACCTTCTACCTCTTACACACTTTTCAACGAATCTAGTCTACGAGTATTACTATCCGGGTAACGGGTATACAAATTTCACCATCTATAATTTGTTTCGGTTTACGAAACTAGCATTAGATAGTTCTGTTATCCATATTATTCTTTAACTTGATTTTGTGTCTAATACACTTCATCCGGCATCAATCACAAGGATACCAGAGTATTGAATGAGACTTATCTTATTCAAATGCCAGTCTCGGTACTCATTTAGCTGTAAGTCCAAGCTCACTTGACCAATGCTGACCATGATAATGGGAATAACAAGCATACGCCAGGTGTGCCTGGAATGACTGCTGGATGTGGCTAGTAATCGTAAGCCGTTTTTGCAAGGGGATTGTGAATACCAAGGGTACTCGGGGTAAGTTCATAAACAAAGCCAATTAACAACGGTAGCAACCACCTATTGCAGCTCAAGATGTCCAATACGAGAGGCTTTACTACCATAGCCTGGCAACTAATCTCTGCATGGCTCCTATCATATTGATTGCGCTGAGTTTCACAAGCACGTATAAACAGAGGAAGATGAGTTCGGTCAGAAAGTGGAGGGGAATACAAAAAGTTCAAGTTGATTTGTCCTGATTTCGATTCGTGCGGCACGTTTCTAGTTCTTATTTGTTTTATTAATTTCTTGACTTTTCTTGCGGAGTCCGGAAAAAAAAACATTTACGTTGAATTTAAGTGCATTACTTTACCCTTGGTCAAGAAAACGCCGCCAGGCCGTTTACTTTTATTAAAAACAAAAGCTATTTGGAATGCGAACGAGAAATCTGAACATTTTTTTGGCATATCGACACACATCGGCAAGAAGAATATTAAAAAAAAAAAAGAAAGTAAAGTAATATATATTCTTGATCAGGATCAAAAGCCGAGTCGATCTGACAATGTCCGTCTGTCTGTCCGGCTGTCCGGCTGTCCGTCCGTATGAAAGTCGAGCTGTCAGGAACTATAAAAGCTAGAAAGATATCGACGCAGCGATAGTTTATTTCCTGATGTTGCCACGCCCACTCTAACACCAACAAGCCGCGCAAAACTGCAACGCCCTCAATTTTAAAAAATGTCTTCTTTTTCGTGTTATTATTTGTTTTGCCAATTTCTATTGGTATGACAAACGTTCTAACGCCCACAAACCTCCCAAAACTGACACACGCAAGCTTTTGAAAGAAGTCTTGAAATTTTTGAATTTGTTTTATTTGTCCTGCCAATTTCTGTAAGTGTGCCAACAATGTTGGAAAATGTTTTAGTTTATTTCGTTTTATTATATGTGCTACCAATTTCTTTCGGTAACCAAAATCTGCCGACGTCCACAAACCGCTCAAAACTGTCACGCCCACACTTTTAAAAATGTATTCTTTGCATTTTATTATATTTAGGTATATAGGTATAAATATTTGGTTAAAGGAGATTGCAAGCATGGAATGTCTTAAGGTACCATGAAATGTCAGGCGTCTAACAAACTTAGCTCCACCGAATTATACAGCAAGCGGCTAATGTGTGTGCCATGATCGTAAAAAACGGTTCTTAGAACACCTGGACTTGCTGTGCTATGAAGATCGCCCTGGTTCACTTCTGCATCATCACGCTGGTGCTGCTGATGTGCTGCTTCACTGTGGAAGCAACCCTGGGGGGGACAGCGAAGTGTAAGCCCCATTTTAAGTTTGCCCATAAACTCAAAAAATGCATTAAAGTCAGGGCAAAGAAGAAGGTACGTCCTTCCGCATTACCTACAACTGCAACAACTGCAGCTGCTGGCTAAAAATTAGACCTTTAATGGCCCAAAGCGTATTAATAAACGGGAGGAGAATAGCATTCCCTTCGCGACTTTTTGGTATAAGGGTTTTCCCATTTTTCCATTGCGGTTCCTCTAATAGAAAATTAAAAAGCCCGTTCACTGGGGCATCAAAGCTTCCTTGGAGTATCCGGTGAATGGGGCATAGGAATCACATTAGCAGCCCACTCATATTTGCTGCACTGGCTCTCACAACATATGTGGTACGGAAGGAAATAGAAATGCCACTGCAATTCGGCTGCCTTGGGTTCCTCGTTTGCACTTAAAGGGTGGATTAGGGAATTTGTTTTGATTGAGTTCGAATTGCAGGGCAAGAAAGGGCTGCGGCAAGTCTCGGATGTGTTTATGGGAACTTGAGGCTTACTACCTCCCAATGGGTGCTCCAAGCTTAAATCCCCTTTTTTCCGGATTGGGGGTCTGGCCTGTTGAGTAAAAATATTTTATTAGACTGGTGGAAAAGCGTTTAGGTCTTAAAGGTGTTCCTGTGTTCCTGGCTTAAAAAATTCGTTTGTTGAGCTTGTCTATTTCTCCAGTAAAATAGTTAGTATCGCGAATTGGAATTCTTAGAAATGTAAATTCTAAGTCCTCGACTATCGGATACCCGTTGCTCAACTAGTGTGAATAAAGGAAGAACAATATACTCTCTTCGCGATTGCTTACTTGCAAACATCGAATCTCAAAATATTTCAAAAAAAGTCCGCTGTATATTAAAATAAAATTTAATAATTAGGGTAATTACTGTAATAATCGAGCACATTAAATTTACAAATTATAATTGAGGTACGGGTATTTTAAAGTCGTGTCTTTAGAATTTTGTTTGTTTGTTCCGGTTTGTTGTTTTGTTTATGTTATACTTTACTAATTCGTTTTGCATATTTGATTAAACAGTCAGAAAATGTATTATTCGAAAGATTGTACTCATTGGGTAAAAACAGAGAGATCCAGTAAGAAGCCAAAATTCAAGAGCAACAAGTGTGTAAACCAAAACATGATTTGATAATCGCTCTATTAAAAAATGTTCGGTTTTTATGAGTGTGTTATTAACGATTTTAGCTTAACGATTGGATCAGTCTATACCTCCTCGTAATATCTATCACTCTCATTCAATTACAATTTTGACTATTTACTCTTGGCCAAACTCAGACTTTTCCTTGCTTTATTTTATTCCCTCTAAATTACACTTCAATTAAATTCCCCAAAATGATTTCCATAGACCCTCACAATGAGGAGGCGTATTCCGTCGTGGTCTTCGGAGCCTCAGGTGGATTGGCCAAGAAGAAGGTTTTCCCAGCGCTTTGGGCCCTCTACCGGGAAAATCGGCTGCCCCCGGGCACTAAAATATTCACCTTCACCCGGACACCGCTGCAGACGAAGACGTACCGGCTGCAGATTCTGCCTTACATGGAGCTGGACAAGCATCGGGACCCCAAGAAGTACAACCTCTTCTGGAAGACGGTGCACTGCGTGCAGGGCGAGTACGACAAGCCGGAGCACTACGTGGCGCTCACGGAGGCGATGGTCCACCAGGAGACGAAGCACAACCAGGTGCACGCGAACCGGATCTTCTACCTGGCGCTGCCGCCGATCGTTTTCGACCAGGTGGCCCTCAATGTCAGCCGCAAGTGCAGCTCGTCCACGGGCTGGAACCGGATCATAGTGGAGAAGCCCTTTGCGCGGGACGACGTCTCCTACAAGGTCTTCCAGACCTCGCTGTGCAACTGCTTCCGGGAGTCGCAGATTTACCTGATGGACCACCTCCTCAGCCGGCAGGTGATGCAGAACTTCTTTGCGCTGCGCTACTCCAACCACTTGTGGGGCGAGACCCTGAACAACCGCCACGTGGCGGCGGTGATGATATCTGTGAAGTGTGAGCTGCCGGTGGCGGCGAGTCGGGCAGACTACTTCAACCAGTTCGGCATTATTCGCGACCTGATGACCAACCACATGATCCAGACGCTGGCCATGCTGGCTATGGATCAGCCGTACGCCAACACCGCTGACGACCTGCGGGTGGAACGGCTGAAGGTTCTTCGCCAGGTGCTAACTCCCCACATAGGCGACGTGGTCTTGGCCCAATACCGCAACAACCGGCGGGAGTCCGAGCCGGCGAAGTGCGGCTACACGGAGCACACCTATATCCCGAAGGACTCCTTTACGCCTACCTTCGCGCTGGTGGTGCTGCAAATCAACAACCGCCGTTGGTCCGGCGTGCCCTTCATCCTGCGGGCGGGCAAGGCCTTAAACGACACCAAGTCGGAGGTGCGCATCCAGTACAAGCCGGTGGACTGCGACGCCTTCGACAGCGACAGTGCGGACATTCGGAACGAGCTGGTCCTGCGATCCTTTCCCACGGAAGAGGTCTTCATGCGCATGCGCCTCAAGCGGCAGGGCGAGAGTATCTGCCTCCGGGAAAGCGAGGTCAATCTGCGAGTTGACGATCGGGGACCAAAGGGACTCCAGGGACTGCCCGGCTTCCTACTCAACGTGTTCCATGGCGACCAGACGCTCTTCATGCGCTCCGACGAGCAGTGCGAGATCTGGCGCATATTCTCCCCTGTCCTGGCCACCATCGATTCGGATCGTCCCCGCCCGCTGCACTACGACTTCGGATCCCGGGGTCCGTTGCTGGCCTATCGCAAGGCGGAGCGCGCGGGCTTCGTCTTCTTCGCCTCGGACGAGTGGCACCAGAGCGAGGAGACGTTGGAGTACACGGTCAAGAGGAGCAAGCAGCTAATCGGACCCCACACCGCCCTCAAGCCGGTTAGGGATCCTCGGTGCAAAAGGCTGAGCTCCAACCCCAAGGCGGTGGGATAATTAATGCAGCAACGAAAGTTTTTTAATTAAACAAGTGCAGTGCAGCCTGCTGTGTTGCACCAGCTGGCCACCACTTCACCTTGGCTGCCCAGTCTAACCCTTCGCCGCTGTCCGTTCCGTGCTGCCATTGTTGCCCATGTTGCTGGTGGGGATTTCGCCAAGAGGAGCATGAACAACACGCATGCCTTGGCCATTGTCCTTTGCAGAAAGGACAAGCATACACTGGAGGCTATGGGAACTGCGTAATTCTCTATCGAATTAGTATCTACTTATATTTGTACATACAAAATTGTTTTCAGTTTAATAGAAAATGTATTTAAAACTTGTCAATTCAATGTTTTGCATGCTGCTGTCGCAACTGATGTAGAGTTTAATTGCACAATGCTCTTTCAGATACTTAAAGATACTATATACTTAAAAACTATTTTATCGGCTACACATCAGCTTGCTTACATAAGAAAAAATTAAATCCAATTAAACAGCCTGACCACACTGTAAAAAGTGAAAAACAGCCAGTGCTAAGAATGCACATGAAGGCCCACAACGTCAATACACCAAACTTACTTTATATTCGACATCCTTGCTTATTCAGAGGACTTCGTTCCGGGAAGTTGGTCAGTTGTTGTTCGACTGGCAAGTTCTCGGTTTCGGAAAGTTTCCAATAACTATATAGCAGTTGATGAAAATCGTACACACATACATGCATACCAAAGTACGGTGGTAGAGAGTTTGCAATAGGAAAGGAAGGAAAGTTACTCTGATTTCTTAAGCGCAACTTTGGCCAAGAAACTTTGAACTGCTCAATCACCAGTCTTTGACTTCTTGTTTACCTCGTAATCTCTAGTGTGGTCACTTGCTCCTCATGATGGTGATGATTCCGTGCTGATTCAGCAAATATCGAATGTAAATCGGTTGCGAAAATGCGCTGGCAGCCATTCAATTCGGGCAACACAATCTAATAAGCTAATGCACTAAGTGGCTAAATTGCATTGTTATCTTTGGCGCGCGTTTACTCAAAAGATTTCCCGGCCACGACTTCAGAGGGATATTTTGGTAAATTTCCCTGTTGATTTTCCATGTCCTTTGTGGGCCACCCACGCATATGCTTTGTGTTATTTTCCTTGCTATCAGCTAGTCTTCCGCGTCTTCCAGCTCCGCTCCCTTTGGGAGCCAGTCAAACAAAACGATTTTCCTGCCCCAAAAAGATTCCGGCGCTGCGTCTGGGCTATGAGAATCATTAAAAACAATATTGTCGTTTTCAATTGAGATTGCCTTGGAGTTTATTTATTTTATTTGCCATCCTCGTGCCTACGGCGCCCCTTTCGTATGGGACTTCTGCCATTCTGGTTGGCTGCTTGTGATTGCCTATTTAATTTCCTGTAAACAGATTGAGGACGGGCGTCGTAAACCGATTAAATTATTTGGTGCTTGTTTCCAAGAAGTAAGCAGGTTACCGCATTAGCGCAGGTGCATCCTAATCCGGATTAGATGTGCTCAGATCATCGTTGCGTAACCCAAGCCGCAAAACGAAAGGCGTACCTAATCGACCCTGGAAACTAAAATTCGGGGCGGGACCAATCTTGTTGAGTCTCTGGCATGGAATGGCTGCCCTCCCGCTCTGCGTACTCACATATGACTGGCATCCTTCTACCTCCGCTTTGGGGCTTCGGATTCCACCATTTCACTTTTTAATACCCCACAAACAGGGGACCCAAACAAACACACCTGCGGGGGAGCAGGGCAGTGCAGGACGATAAAAAACGAGTCCTGGCTGCACACCTAGTGGCAAAAAGGATTTCGTGTTTGGAAACCGTAAAGTGAAATTAAAATGGCTCGGCAGTGCTGAGCTGACCAAAGTCCACGTTTGGATGGGCGATTTCTAGAGCGTGGGCCATGGACGTAGTTGGGGTGGCAAAGCAAATGGCCAGCGCGCTTACAAAACACGGGCAATCAAAAAATTGTAGTTAGTTGGCCATCGACTCGTCCTTCGACACGGTTCACCCACATCCTTCCCGCTCGTGGGTGTTCCGTATGTCTGTGGTGCTATCTTTACGGCTATTGCCGATGGTCCGATGGTCCGATGGTCCGATGGTCCGATGGTCCGACGGTCCTGTTCCTGACCAAGTTACAGCCACCTACAACGAGCGATTACAACCCGTGACACTCTACACAAGTTGTGGGCCAACATTTTGCGGTCTGGTTTGGA